TAATTTATATAATTATTATATCATTGTATTTAACAATCTAATTTAATTTGCATAATAATCTTAATAAACTAATATATTATCAATACTATATTAAAATAATTGAATTATACAAATGCAAACACGAAATCAATATTTTACTCATAGAATATATTATTATATATCATTAATTTAATTTCATATATAAAAAAAAATTGGTAGGATTATTTTCAATAAAAATAATCATTTCGAATGATTTTAAGTAGCCATTTTTAGATCTAACAACTCAAAACTTCCGTCCAACCCTCTGATCTAGCTCTCAACACGTTCACCCCCTACTTAACGTTTATTTCCCTTTGCTCGTTCGACCCTTGTCGACTCATCCTGTATCATCCCCTTATCCTTCGTCGCCTAGTTCTCCCCGAAAATCCTGACCAATGGCGTATAAGCTGAGGGGGGCATCCATTGTCGATCGGACCAATCGTCTTCTTATTCGTTGCACACGTGATAGAGATTCACTGTCGTTTCACTTTTTCCTACCACCATATCTTTCTTTCTTCCTTTCTTTCTTCCTTTTTTCTTTTTTTTTTTTTTCATATATAGTAAGAGGGTAAGAGGGGGTAAGAGAGGGTGCAGTGGCATCGCTTTATGATGCATATCAATTTAGGCTAATGGCTAGCATCGATTGTAACGAAGTTGCATCTGCAGCTTAATAAGAAACATCCCCTATCTTTCTTTTTCTTCTTTTTTTTTTTCTTTCTTTCTAAATTGTAATTTCTACGACCCCCTTTGGTCCGGGAAATTTATAATAGAAAGGAGGCGGAGAGCACGATTAAAATAAATTGACGATAATAATGATATTTGTAAATTAAATTATATAACCGAATTGAGATTAAATATTTCTATTAATTAGATTATTTTTTTTGTAATTATTCTTAAATTAAGAAATATTTATAATATAGAAAGGGTTAAGATAACAATATATATATATATATGTTATTGAGAATAATATTAAATGTTAATTTGAATTCTTTCGATCACACATTAATTCGTTTAATATTCGGGAATATGATTATAGTTAAGAAGAAAAAATATAATTATTAGATTTTTCGTTTATATAAGCATACTTTTTTCCTTTCGTATACGCTTTAATATAAAAATTGATTTTTACAATTGTTATAATACTTTATATATAACACGCGTGTTAATATTAAATTTATAATTTGTTTCTTTTGTTTTGTGTTTTTTTTTTCGTATTAAATTCTGATGAACACGATTGGCCCGTAGTGTATACATATATTTCGCGTCGCAGGAGTATGAAAATATTTTGCAATCGAGCAGGCAAAATATTTGATCCGTCAAAGGTCCGCGTTCAAAGGACAATGAAAATCCGAGGCGAGATCAAGCTTTGCGTCGCGGCGAGAAAGGACAATAGGGAGGGGAAAAAAAACAAGAGAAAAGAAAAAAAAGAAAAATAGAGAAGAAAATAAAAAAAGGGTGGAAGGATTTGAACGCACGTATAAGAGAGGTGTGTACGCGTATAAACGAAGAATAGGAGAAAACAATGCGTGAAATCGTGCGTACCGCGAGAAGTGCTGCTTTTTTATTTTATTTATTTTTCTTCTTTCTTTTTTTTTTTTTAACATCCAAAAAGTCTATTAGAATTTCTCGCGAGAAGCGGGTACTCCTCCTACGTGTCAATTTCGATCAAACGCGAAGACTTTTATCTGACGTTAATTGAAACGCGTTTAGAAAAACCGCAACAACAAATAACCAACCCCTATTACGTATCTTCGAAATATAATTGATACTATTCGAAGGTTTAATCAAATATTAATATAATAATTATATTATTTTATATATAATATATATATACCTATATTTTTTTGATTTCGTTTAAAGTATACAATAAATTATATGCAATGAGTCGACGAATATAATAATACGTCAATTAAAAGTTAAATTACTTCGAATATAAATAATATATCATAATTTGGATTATAAAATGTTATTAATCGAGAGAAAAAGTGAGAAAAATAAAGTAACCGACCCTTCGAATTATTACTTTCAACGAGGAACCCGTAATATAAAAAAAAAAAAAGAAAGAAAAAAAAGATCTACCAATCAAATCAGACATCCATAATTTTGTATTTGAAAATAACCGTAGAAAAGGGAAAATTTTTCTCATGTTTTTTTTTCTTCCCTTCTTTTCTTTTTTATGTGTATATGTTCCCTTCGTCGAGTATAACACCACCGGCGTTATTAATCGCGAACAATAAGAAGAAGAATAAGAGGAGGAGGGGGTGGAGGAGAAGCTTTTCGTCGTAGAGAAAAACGTTCCATCTCATACGTCTGGCATTTTTCATCGATGAAAATTAATAGAGAATAAGCTCGAGGCGTATCACGAAGTGTTGGACGTTTTTCGATTGGTCGAGGGAAGGGTACTTTTTGAAAAGGGGGATGAGCACCGAAACATGGCGACTCTCGCATCTTGCGTATTGTCAATGAAAGAGGGAAAGAGAAAGAGAAAGAGAATGAGAGTGTTTGCTACGGGGGTTGATGAATTCAACCGAGCTGGCAAGCAAGCAAACAAGCGAGCGAGATAAACTAGGGGTGAGAGGAACCGTTGTTTGTTGTAAATGAAAATGAAATTTAATCGTACGCGATATATTATACACCACCGAGAGAATGTGTCCCAAAACCGTATAGTAACTTTTACGAACTCGTACGAATGTAACTAGAAATTCACCTGTATATTAATGCTTCCTGATGATCAACAAATTACGAACAAATTTTACCGATCTCATTACACCGATTGTGTGTGTGTGTGTGTGTGTGTGTGTGTGTGTGCTAAGAACGAAATAATTATTTATTTCATGTATTTTTATTTATGTATTTTATTCATGTATTCTGTGTGAGACTCTGTTGTTTGGTATAGATAATATTTTATTAATAATTGTAAATGAGTTCTCTCGGTTCGTGTTCGTATCTTTGGACTATCGGTCATAAAAATATAACCAAAAATAAAAAAAACAGAACACGGACACGAGTATCGCGATAAAAAAAAATATTTCAAACAAATTTGTTAACCAAATTTATAATCGTTAGAGTCGCGATAACAGAATTTAACTGCGTTGCGATAAATGTAAAGGTAGAATATCGTTAAGAGAAAAAAAAAAACAAAAAAAAAGAATAAAATAAAAGAAGAAAACAAAAAGGGGTTAGTGGGGAGGAGGAAAGAGAAATAATTAATAGTGACTTTCCAGAAAGGAATTTCCCAAAGAACGGAGAAAGAGAGAGGTTAAGCATCAGCAGCAGCAGCCGGTTTCTTCTCTTGGTGGCGTCTAGCCGTCGGCAAGAGAACGACCAATGAGAGTGGCTTTAGCCTCGTCTCGTATATAAATATGTAAATACAATGTCCAGGGTCTTGGGCATAAAACGTAAGGATATATAGCCTGGTAATTTCTTAATTGCGACCGAAAAAATTCTTGTCATCGTAAAGACCTCCTTGATTACAATGAAACGAGCTGAGGCGCCGAGGGCGTCTCTGGAGGATCTGGTAAATGAGACTAAAGAGGGAAGACGAGGAAAAGAAGGAGGAGTTGTAGTTGTATTAGTGGTAGTGGTAGTAGTAGTATGGAAGACTATTTTGTTTCAATGATTTATCTATCCATTCGTAATCTTTCTTAATCGAATTAAAAGATAAATGTTGGATAAGCAAAGTTATTCGGATTTACTAACCTGTATGAGTTCTCTTGTGTATCTTAAGATTTTCCGACCTTGCGAAGACTTTCCCGCACGATGGGAAAGGACAAGGAAAGGGTTTTTCTCCAGTATGTACTCTTATATGATTGACGAGCTTGTACTTTGCTTTGAATGCCCTGCCGTTGCGAGCACATCCTTGCCAATAGCACGCGTGCGTTGTAACTTCTGGTCCTCCCACATGATCAATTGCTAAATGCGTGACTATATCGGATAAATTGGCAAAAACTTTACGGCAAATTCTTCTTCCCGTATTAGATGATTCCTGATCGACCCACATGCAAGATAATTCATGGTGTTGTCCACCGGTTTGTATTACACCGGGAGCTGGGCCACTCCCAGGACCTGTACCGTTGTTCCTCATGTATCTAAAGAAAGCACCATGGGGATGATGTGTTGGATGAGTAACAGTGGGATGCTGTTGATGGTGTATAGACGCCGGTGTTAAATGCGGTGCACCTAAATATTGATGGTGAGTGGGTAGCCGGGAATCTTGAGGATAATGTCCAGGATAATGTCCTGCTGCTAAGGGATGTTGACTCGGGTGATGAGGAAATTGTTGCATTGTGGCAGCTGCTGTGCCATCGTGATGGAGCGGAGTGAATATACCTAGACCACTTTCGGGAGTAGTCGGGTTAGCCGTCGCATTGAACTCGTGTTCTCGGCGTAGCAAAAAATCACGAGCAGCGTAAGTAGCGTGATGGCCCATGTGGTGGCCCATATGAGGTGCCATGTGAGGAGCCGGATGGGGATGATGGGGAGGATAACCCTGAGGATGGAAATGGTGATGTTGTTGAGACGGTGCTTCGCCGACCGTCGGTTGGACACCACCTGCACTGCCGTCACCCGTCGAACCACCACCCCCGATGCTGCCATCGCCTCCGCTTGGCGACAATTTGATCCCCATGCTCGCTAGGTGGTGAGAATGCGAGGATACGCCATCGAGAAAAGTATTCATCATCATGGAACTTACACTTATGTAACTTTACCGGTTCAATGCGTTTCAAGCCCGCCGGCTTATCATATCAGTTTATTATTTCAAATCGAGTTTCTATTTATCGATTAACGTCCGATCTCTAATAATAATAATAATAATATCTGTTTATACAGAAATCAACGCGTCCTTCTGAAGAAGAACAATTAGATGAATAATTTGATGCGGCACTACTATATTATATATTATCGAAATATTCTCGATTCAATCGTCGGAATTTTATGGCGATATATTTCTTCCATTTTATTTTCATTTATATCAATTCTAATCTCCCCGGGGGAAGATCGAAACAAAAAAAAACCACACTTTTGCACGCTTATTTTACGTTTGTCCCCCTTGGATATTTACTTTTGTTTTATCTTTCTCACAGTGTCACAAAAATAAAAACTATTTATTAAAACTACACGTCTTATATATATATATATACGATGATCAGTTTCAATTTCACCAAAGTCTGTTATGAATCGTATGACGAAGGAAAAAATTAAAAACAGAAATATCCGACGCGATAGAACACGATATCAAATGAGAAAAAGGAACTTAGTCAAACACGGCCGGAGAGACTAGGTAAACTGTATTCCGTAACGTGCCTTTCTACGCTCACAGCGGGACTGAGAGTATCTGGACTCCTGGCGGGACAACTCAGGGCCTGTTCGCTTGATTTCGGCGGCTCTCTTTCTTCCATCTCCACCGTTCTCTTTAGTTCCCTGTTAAACGTTTCCAAGGCCCCCACCAAGTGCCCAAATGCAAGCGTTCTCGTTCGACGAACCTGATTATCCCCACTCTTAGTAGGCGTGAACTCGATAACAATCAACCAGTTGGGAAGCTCCCTCAGTGGGTACCAGCGTTTTATTGGTGACCTGCCAACTGGACCGGATTGGAGACTATCCTCCAGTCCTACACTCTCACCAATCTGCTACACGTTTGTGGGCGTGTTAAGAATCAAAGCGCATGCCCCTGTTCCCGCCTACATTTCTATCCCTATAACCTACCCTTAAATATTCCTTCTACCCTACAGCATCCGATTACTTTTGGGCGTATACTTGCTCAAATTGGTCCGATCTTTTTCCGAGTTAGTACGAAGAACTAATAATGATGATGCTCTAGTACTTCTTTATACGTACATTAGTTCATACGAGATACTTCACAATATTTTCGCAAGGGTTTAACTAATTGTTTGAGTTAACGTTAACTAATCTGAATTGTTTTATAATATCTTTCATTGTCAAATACTTTCTCGATAGAGTTTATATTGGAGGTTTAGATTAATCGTGTTTTGCTCTCCAAACTTCATAAGGATTATTAATTGTAGATAATTTAAGAACAACCAGAACTTTTCAACTCTTTACCTCATCGTTCTTCGTGAGAAAAAGAAAGAGAGAGGGTGTGAGAGACAGAGAGAGAGAGAAAGAAAGAACAGATATTCGGTATAGTAATTTTTGTTTTTATTGTTATTCTTCCGTGTTGGATTGGTGCTACGCCTAGATAGCTAATTACCCGTGGATACTCGAGAGTTATTTGTGTCGTTGATCGATCGCTGTACAACTTTATAATGAAGTTAACATTATTTAACAACCCCAATAGTATTTATCTGCTGTTGAATTTTTCTTCTTTTGTTTTTTTTTTTTCTTCCAGAGAGAGAGTTTGAACTGAAAGATAATTCTTTTCTTGAGAACGTGTTTAATGTTGTTTAGGTATGCAGTATTATTTATATAAAAAAAAAAAAAGTACCATACTACCATAATTAAATTGTCGGTCAAGATTTTTTCAGCTGCCTTGAATAAATATTCATTCGGGATTAAGCAAGAAAATGTCTTTTACGAAAAAACAATATTTTTTTTACATTTTTCCTTAATATAAAAGGTATTTAAAGATCTTTTATGAAGTATTTGATTAATGCTGTCTTAAAAATACAATGAAAGTGACCTTTCGGAAACGCATTTCCAACCTTCGGTAGTCTAATTTGAATAATAAAAGGAACAAAAATCTAAGAATTCTTTTGCAGTTGAGATTTAGGAAATCGGATTCAAAGACAGGTTGTTTTTGTTTTTTTAAATTAAATTTGAAAGCTTGAAGGATTCCTTTTGTAGTCAAATTCGAAGAATTGGAATCCCATTTTTTCCCAATTGTCATTCACAGATGACAAATGTATTCATACTTATTTATAGAATCATTCAAAATATAGCTTAAAAATTAAGGGACAATGGAATCGGTAAGTTTACTCTAAAAAGAATTAACATAGCTTGTCACGACACATTTTGATAAATTTAAATATTTCTAATTAAAAAAAAAAAAAAAAAAAACATTCCCAAAATCCTTTTTTCCCTCTGAATAGTTATTTTTGCAACGAAATAATAATCAGCTTTAAAATGATTTATATTTCATTTTGTTACATTTTGCGTGATTTGGAAAGATCAAATTATACAGTTAAAATCTAAAGAAAATTTGTTAAAAGATTGATACAATTTTCTTTTTTTTTTCTTCTTTTTTTTTTTTCTGAAAAGAAATTTTTCCTTTTGAAACGCCGATTTTTTTTTTCTGTCAATAAAAGTTTCTACCTGCATTTTTTAAATGGCTATGATTTTCATAGTATTTTATTATGTTCGTTATTTATATATAATCTTTGAATGGAATAATAGTTCGTCAATTACTTCATACATTTACTAATTTTGTTTGTATTTAGTATACGACGAATAAAAAATATACCATAATGAAATATAAATTATTAGGACGTTGCTATTAATACACAATTATTCCAAAACACATTATAAATCATTATTCATAATTTTGTTTTTCCTAACACTTATAATCTTTCCCATAGTATATTATAAATTCAACGAAGCAAATAACGTCGATCGATAGATACAATTAACAATGATCGATGTTTGCGAATAAGATCTAACTTCTAATGAAGTTGCAATGATCTTTTTCTGTTCCTTTTCTATCTTGCAAATTTGATCTACTTAAATTGTTTCTTAATTATCCGTTCCTATAAAACACAATCGAATATATTCTCATAGAATTTTATGATTTATGAAAAATGTATGTACAAGTTGTTAATCGTTTTAGTACATGGATTACTGTTAAATCATTTTCAAAATCATTTCTTTGATATTTATCGAATAAACCGATGTTTCTTTCTCGATCGTTTCGTTCATTCATTCATTCATTCATTCATTCATTTGTTGAACTTTTATTTACCACGACGTCAACGGGTTAAAACTACCAGGTAAGATCTCTCTACCTTCGGTTCTAATTAGCACGGGTAATAAATGAAATACCGATGTAATGAGAACGAACGTTGAGAAACTGATAATTTGTTGCGGATGTTAACGCTGTGATATACGCGTATCCTGCGGCGAATGCTAAGCTTTTTTTCAAAGGCCATCTTTAAATGCCACCTTTTCCATGTCCTTACACATTTAACATTTTCTCCTTAATCATTTTTATTTATATATATATATATACATGTATTTATAGTATATAGATTTCTACTCATTTATATTTTACTAACCAGGTTACCCAATTAAACTTTGGTCATTAATGTCCAGGTTTTAATATCAATCATTTTATTATTTATTAGTAGTACTTTTTTTTTATTTTTGCAATCTAACATTTCCTGTCCACATTATTTTTTATAGAACTTGTATATAAATGCGCGTATGTTATTTTTAAATAATTTTTATTTTTATATTTAATGCCGACTGTGTGAATTATTCAGATATAAGATTGACCATTAATGTCCACGTTTTAATATATATATCATTTTATTATAATATATATTACTTTTTCATTCTTTTAATCAAATATTTCTTGTGTCCCCACTATGTATAAAAATATTTATTTTTAATTTTATTTATGTTCGATATAATAATCTGATTATCCAATTAATATTGGCCATTATAGTTAAAGTCTTTTATTAATCCAATATTTTCAGCTCGTCATTTTTCTATTTGAACTTTACACTATAGTGTCTAAAAGATTATATAAAAAGAATTTTTATTTATATTTAATGTTAACCAATGGTTAATCAATTATCATTGATCATTAATCCTCGATGATGTTATGTTTCTCGTTATTATTTTAGTGATATTATTACAAGACTTGTAAGTTATAGGAACAAGTTAAAGATTAAACAGGAAGCAGATTCATTGTCACGAGAAAAAACGATGTCTCATTAGCTTTCATAATGGCGATGGTGGTTGGACTATTCGATATTAATAACTCTCATAAAGGTGTCGGAGTCTCACAGTCGTGGGCTACCTCGTAACGCTTTAATAATAAGAGAAAAAGAGAAAGAAAGATGACACGTCCTACTACTATCTTTCTCTTTCTGTTTCTCTTTCTCTGAATGATGTTTTCCATCCACCTTCTGTCGCTTACCGGGATCCGCGAGACATCGGACACGTACAAATCTTAGCTTATGCTACCTCGACGTTAACATATGCATTCATCCTACTGGGTGTTCACTAATTTCTTTTTTTTTCGTTTCTTTTTGTATAATTTATATTAACTACAAAGTAGTTGTAGATTCAAATTAATACATCGCATTCGTTTCATTTCACAAACCTTTTTCTTTTTCCACGTATAATAATCTAATGAAAATTTTTCATTAGAAATTACAATGCTTCAATTAAAAAAATACAAATAAAATTGATAAAATTATATTACCGTTATTTTCAATAATTATAAGTTTAATTTTGTAATATCATTAGATCATTTTTTGTCGAATATAAAATATTCAGTTTGTTTGATTTATAAATATATTCATAAAATTTCGATTACTTCTCATTACACATTGATGATTTATTATAAATAAAAAATTACAAAATAGTATGACACCGTGTATATGAGTAACGTGTAACATATCGTATGTGCTACCAATGTTACGGTGTATTCACATACACCTACACATTAAACATGATCTTCTCATATAAATGTATGTAAAATGTGTGTACGTGTATTCCTTTGGAAAAGGGCCACCACCAATACGAGTCGGACATTGTCTTAGCATGGTCATCAGTCACGGCTGGKGTAGTCATTATATTTAATTAATCATTAGACTGAATGGGTCGATTTATTGCGCGGTCACGGCCAATGCCATGGAAGAGTTTCAAGTGGTGGGGGTAAAACGAGAAGAGAGCGTGGATTGAAAGAGATTGAAAGCTTTGTAATCGACCTTTTTACTTTTCATTTTTTCTATCTCTTTTAATTTTTTTTCTTTATTTATTTTTTTTTATCGAGAAACGAATACGTCGAGATGAAATTCGATAAACTCTCGACGAACTTTCTTTTCGTTCTCGATATATCAAAAATTATTTTATTAATTATAAATAATTTAATTTGTTTCTCTTTTTTTTTTTTTTCTTGTTAATTTATTATTATTTTAATTTATTTCATTAATTATATTTGTGTACGCTTTTCGTTTATAAAATTGTACGGTTTGACGAGAGTTTTAATAAAGAAAATGAAGAAATTCTCTTTTGTAAAGAATTTTATTTAGGGTGACACTCTCTCCGCTACTTACTGAAAAGAAAGATCCCTATTGTGTTATTAATAAAACGGAATATAGAGTGAACGATATTAAAAAGAAATTAAAAAATAAACGAGACACTACCTTCGGCGATCTCGTAATTATATTTCTTTTTATTCGAACTAAACA